CCATGAAATAAACTAAAGGGTTAGTTCACCCAAAAATGAAAATTTTGTAATTTACAGAAAAGGTTGTTACCCACAGGTTGTTCCAAGCCTGTATACATTTCTTTGTACCGCTGAACACAGACATTTTGAAGAAAGTTTGTAAACAGGCCACTTTGTACAGACATTAACTATCATAGTACTTTTTTTATTTATTTTTCCTACTATGGAAGTCAATGGCTGCCCAAAGCAGCCAGTTTACAAACTTTCTTCAAAATATCTTCCTTGGTGTTCAGCAGTACAAAGAAATGTATAGAGGTTTGAAAAGAGTAAATTACAATTTTCATTTTTTGGTGAACTATCCCTTAGGTGTCAGGTCAGAGAAACAAAATGTGCAGAGGGGTGAATCCCAAGGACTATGATTGAAAACCACTGCATTTAAACATTCACAATGACTTTGCAACAGTATTGTTAGTTTTACCTTATGGTAATGCACAAGTCTGTCACCAGCCTCTGTTGTACTGATCTTAGTCTTCTTCCTCCCATGTGACCGTCCCAATCTGAATGAGTAGGTGTTTAGGGGGTGGTGGGCGATTTAGGATAAAACAAACAAACATTTAGTGCTCACAATAACAAGAAACCAGAGAAAAATAATATGAAATTGACATCCTCACAAATCATGCCATAACCAAAACATGTGCAAAATATGATCGTGGTTTTGCGCAGCTTGTCAGTGAACAACGGCTCGGTGTAGTAAATGCTGCTCCATGTGAAAGCACGCACGTGTAGAGATTTACCGCTGATTACAGAACCGGCTTTACTGGCAAGATGCGCATTAAATATCGCATGCGATTTATCGTGCAGCCCTATTGTCTATGCTTGAAAGTTTCCTTCATCTTTTGCATAACTTCAGCTTCATCAGCTGTATGGACAAGGAAAGAAGTTACCTCTCTGCATGCATCTCCTTCAAGTTGTTGCACATCATCTATCCTTCATCGACTTGGTCCTCCACTTTCAGTCATCTCCAAGCCAACACGTTTTGGGTTCTTCCTCTACAAAGTTTTAAGGCGCCAGGAGATGAACTCTGTTCCCTTTTCCGGAACGTAGAAATGATCCTGTCAGAAAGACAAGAGAACACTTTGTAAGATCTGAACATTACGTTAGTCATTACATTTAATAGATAAACTACTATTACATGCCACAAAAAAGGAGCACAAAACTTCATGTCCAACTAGATTGTGTTAAAAGTACATCAATACAAAAGATTCTTACATAGCCCTTTGTTGAAAACGGGTCTCTCGGGCTAGAGAAATAATGCCCAAGGCATAAGTTTCCTGCTGTTTGCGGGTGGGGATCTCCTTCAATGTGTAAAAAAAATAAAAATAAAAAAATATATATATATGGTTAATGCTAAACTTAACATTGTTTTCTACACCAATTGACACAGCTGTGTGCATTTCTTGCATCTGTGCACTTAAGTCTTACCCATGAATTGCTGTCATGTGACTGACAATATTAACAAGCTGATGTCTGGTGCTTTACAATAAGGTTTCATTAGTTAACATGGACTAAGAATGCACAATACTTCTACAGCATTTAATAAGCTTAGTTAATGTTAATCTCAACATTCCCTAATACATTATAAAAATCAAAAGTTGTATCTGTTAACATGAATGCACTGTGAACTAAAATTAACAACAGTTCTAGTTTTATTAACTAATACTAAAGTTAGTTTGCACATTAATTAATGTTAACAAATGAGACCTTATTGTAAAGTGTTAGCATACAAAAGCACTGTGGGCTTAGACCTCAAGCGTAGTTCCTATATGACTAAGTACATTTCTAAGCAGCAGAACAAGATTCTAAGCTTACCTTCAGTGAGAAAGTCTCGGAACCTACTATCGCTGTGCAGTTTTACAAATGCCTTCACGCCTTGATGAACATGAAAGCTGTTGGTCAAGAAAAATGCAGATTATTTATTTTAATTTATCTCCGCTGCCTTTTACTTTGCAGGCGAGAGTGACCGCTTTACATTTCATGTAAATTCCACGGATCATCCGAAGCTGTGCGTTCAAGGCCCACGTGTAAAAAAAAAATAAAAAAAAACACGCGTTACTGATTGCTGCTCACAATGCACAGTTATACTAAAATACTTTGGAACAAAATGTAACCAACACAATAAATCACTGCAAAATAGTTTTAATAAGGCTCAAATAGTCTTCAGTTTACACATCTGTTAGGCTACATTTACAGTAGTTAGTGTTCGTTTTAAAACGCATAGCTCAGACAGTTATGCAGTCTAATGCGGTTATTAGAGAGAGGGAGAGAGAGAGAGCTTAAGTGTGTGTGAATACCTGCGTCTATGCGTCTCTCAGCAGCGTCTACTAATAGCGAATCTTTAAGTTAAACTCCTTCATGAAACTCGCTACTGAGAAATGTCATGTAGCTTTTCAGCTGCGAAACTATTTTACTGATAAATTTGCGGTGCAGCGCTGACAAGAAGTTTCTGTTCACGTTTCCTCGTGTCTGCACTGTGTGTGCGCGTTTGTGAGAGAGACTGAGAGAAAGAAAGCATTATTTCCGTAGCCTACATAAAAAAGGTGGAAGACATGGAAATAGTTTGTCATTTTTTACCCTATTGTTTATGATATTTATTTGCTCAATGTCTTGAGCAATGCATAAATCCGGCCCTGTTAGATGGCAATCGGAAGTTATTACAAACACTC